CTCTAAAACAACGCATTGGTGTTCTAACCCAATTAGCTGGTTATGTAAAAGTTCGAAGGGCCCTATCGGTCTGTCTTGTACGTGAGCCTTTCCCTGGGTTCCGTTAGTACTATCAACGGCGATTGAATCAGAGGTGATCGGTAGTGCTTCTGACTTCTCAGCTTCGTCGTAAACAGTGCTCTCGAGACTGGGCAGCGGCGTTTTGTGTGGGATCAAACGGTCAACCGGCTTCATCGTTCCGTTCACGCCCAGTCTCCTTGTCTCGAGGCTTGGCCTCGGCATAGTTGACCATGAATCTTGCGACATGTGCAGAAACTCGAGATTGCCGTCTTGTACTGATGCATGGCTTGAGGGAACCAACCTTTTGCAGGCAGGTAGCGAGCCTATGGTAGTGCTGTCGACATCGGAGGCATTCGGCAGCCCACCACCACAACCGGCTTTCAGCTGCAACAACGCCTTTGCTACGCGGCATCTATCAGAATTGTGCCAATTTTCGTCGTCTCTGTAGATGGCGCTCCATGGCTCTTGGAAGCTTCTGAACGTATTTTTCACATTCACTTCGTCTTGTGTGTGTCCTCCCACCTCACCGCTACAACACTCGTAAACGCCTGAAAACGTAAGCTTTGTGCGTGATACACGCAGCGCCACGTTCACGAACCTCGCTAATTGTTACCAGAGATGGACGAAGGCTCGATGGATGCCATGGCGTCCGCGCGCGGGTCCATTGTCCGTCGGTGAGGCCTCGAATTCGGGAGCATCGAAAGCCGTTTTGGTACACACCTACGCGACAAATGGGCGGTGTCTCAAGCTCCTCGAGAGCTTGTCGTTCAGCCTGGTGAAACAGTCAACTCATAGTAACGAGGTTCAAAGAGAGGCCTTTTGACTCCGACAAGTCTTACGATGTAAAATTCCAGACACGATACCAATATTGAAGAAAGCCGTTTGGTGTCAGCGAGTCGATAAGGGGTTCAATTCTGCACATGCCAGGCCAATTGGAAACTGGACGTCGTAACAAAGCCTGACCGACAACAGCCATCTCACATCATCTGCCTCTCAAGGCTCGCTCGGGGCATGGGGAAAAGCCCCGAGGCAGCGGATCATTCAGCCGCCATTGGCGAAAGCTTCCTGGCGGCCCATACACGGTGTTTGTTCTGCGCTGTGCACGTTGGTCAAAAACCAGGAGATCTTTAACAGAAGCAATCTCACTATCCGTCGCCTTCGCAGTCTTCGTTCGTGTTCGTACGGCGGTCAAGGTGGCTGCCTGAATCCAACATTGCCCCCATCATACAGAGTGAGCACCTGTAACCGCCGGAGGCCATCGACCTTGCAACAGTCGAGGCATGCTCGCCATTGATGGCTAGACATGATGTTCTGAACACCCCCGCCCGCTCACCTACACGGATGTGACTGCCCAATGCAGACGAGGCCATGCCCAGCCAAACTGACTGAACCTCCGCACGATGACCCCAGCGCGCTATTACACGGCCGGGAGATGGCTTTTACACGACTCGAAGAGGTACACAGAGGAGACTCTGTTGACGAGACGGCGTCCAGTGTGGCCCATGCCCCTGCGCTACGCACCGACAAGGATTGAACGCGCACACCCATAGAATCCCTTGCGATGGGTTCAACAGCAGGGGTACAAGTACACGCCTCCTGGTCCTGGTGCCTGCTAGCACAGACATGGATACCTCACTTAACGGGGAAGTGGAGTGTCCACCTCTCTTCTGAGCAAGCAAAAGTTTGTTCCCACGCCCCGCTAGAACTTCAACCTCCATGGATGATGGGTAACAGTGCAAGAACTAATCACGGCGGGCATGGGGGGTCCACAGCCCGTCGGTGTTTGCTGCCAATCCGACATCATGCCCTTCTCCAGATGCCAAGCGCACAGACGAACAGGGCATCCGCCAGTTGCCTGTCATGTTGAGCGGCGAGGCCATTTAAGCACACTGTTCAAGAGACACAACCGGCAGCGCGACGGCTCGATGAAATTGGACGGTCTCGCTGAGGCGATTGATCACGGTTTTGAACCTACTTGAGTGGTAGGAGTCTTGGTCGCTTCTTCTCAAGTGAGCGGCGAATATGTGCGCAGAATCACGTAGCGAAAAAGCGCCACCCATGCAGAAACTATCATTCTCCTCTTCGAACAACCATGCCGACAACACATCGAGGTCGTCGCTGTGCATCGCAATTACTGTTGTCGGTGCCGTCGCTAACTCGCCCTCCAGTGACCTCTCCGCTGTAGTCAAAACAGGCGTAGCCGTTGTTGGCGGGCCCAATCATCAGACGACTGGATGCCACGCGAATCGTTCTACCACGCGGAACAAACACCTGATCCCAACCAGGCGCTTGTCGACCCATGTCAAATAGTGCACATCTGAGCTGAATGGCCGGCGGGGACCTCATTGCCACAACCGCTGAACATCTGTTCCCGAAGAGCCATAATCGACGATTTGACGTCCGAGGACTGCCGCGTATATACCGAGGCCATATTGTTGAAGGTGGGTTGCCCAGAGGACGTCAGCTTTGCGTGGGGAATAATAACGAGCACTCCGCCGTGGCAAGGCTTGTCGTGCCATAGTACGATTCCATGTCCGCTTGTTGGTACTGTACATCTGCCGACGATGACATGGCATCTGCTTGCGGGGTTTGCGGTCCGGCCAATTCTTTTCGGTAAGCCTCGGTCTGGTCAAGGGCCTGCGTGACCGGACTGGACGATACTAGACGCCGTATTGAGATTCGACAAGACATTGCCGTCGGGGGGGTTCGCTGAGTACGTTGTCGAGCGTTGGGGTGTGCTGGAGCAGGATGTGAAGTGAGTGACTGGGGAGGTTGCCGCGCTATTTATGTCGATTTAATGGGCATTTGTAGACCTTTGTCGAATTACACAACCCGGGCCTGCGCAGGGTGTGCTCTATTCTGGTCATAACAGCTATGGAGGTACTCTCTATTCTTGGTGCCGGCTCGCAGAGACTTGGGAGGTTGACAAGCGTTTGGGTAGGCAAAGAGCAAGCGCCATAGGCGATGGAAGGTCAG